TTGTCTCTGCTGGTGCATAATGCACGTGAACTATTTTTGGACAGAATTGTCACCGATGATGAAAAATGGATTCTCTATGCGAATATTAAATGCCAAAAACAATGCCTCAGTTCTAGAGAAAAACCACTTCCGACCCCAAAACCTTGGACTCCATATGTAATGTATTATAACCGAAATGTGACTGTATTTTACAAAATACTGGTTTCCTAGAACAAATCAAAAACAGGTCACTTTCTAAAGGCCAGTTTTATACTATTGGATACGGTAACATGAGTTCACGTGTGACACGTCATTGTAGTTTCTGTAATGTTAGTTAGACATGGGTGAAAGGTCAATAAAATAATAGATATATATATATATAGATTTATAATTTTATGAGATTTAGACTAAACATTTGTGGGTTCTTGTTATAACTTGTAATCATTCTACAATGAAAAAAAACATAATTTATATTTATTTTCTAATTTTCTATATTGGTTACGAGATCAGTCAAATGGATAAAACCCATACAGAGATTTAATAGTAAAAATAACAGATATAGTTTAGTTGTCTAAAATTATTTGAAGGTTATATGATTTTGCTTGTGAAATATGAAAATGTTCTGATGCATTTTTAGTCTTGAAATCAAAATTACTTTATATGTTGGATAGTCAACATTTCAAAAGAAAAAATGCACAAGCAAATAATCTCTAAAAAAATCTATGTACAAAAGCCTTGTAATGTTTACTGATAATTTGTAAAATTTCGTGAAGGTGAGCATACCATACTGTATTAAAAGCTATACTATGAAAACTATAAAAAAGTACAAAATGAAGTCAGTCCCTGAGACTGATCCTGTAGTGAAAGAGTGATAAATGAGAGATTTTTTCTTGAATCATTCTCAGCACACTGTTACAATTCAATTAATTTAGAGATTTAATTGTTTTGTTACAGTGGGAGACTAACATCACCAAGATGGAAGACTTTTAAAGGACTAAAATTAAGCTTGAAGAATAAGATTAGATTGAATAACATCATCTGGAGGGTGTGGCACATGCAGTGTAAGTGAACCTTATTCTTTTTCATAAAATATGCACTGTAGCACTCTAAGATACCAAAACAGAATGTATCTTTCTAGTTGAAAAAACTTTCACTTTCTTTCTCTGTAGGCATGTTTGAAATATTAGTTCTGATACAATACCTTACCTTCACTCACATAATAGCTTCTCATTCAGTGCTGCCATCTATATGCAAAATGTTAATTTCACATGTCATTAGTCCTAAAACTCTCACCTACCCCATGATCAACATGGTTCACTGTGTCTTCGTGTGTAAATTGCCATGAGACAACCCTCCACTAATAGGAGTGGGACACAAACTCCTGATGAACGTTACTCCCACTATTCGACTCTGTCTAATTATCACTTATCATTAGGCAGTTGTCAAGTTCAGATGTTCTACAATTTTGTGTGAATTTACACAATACTTTCTTTCTTTTTTCGAAGTGGTACTTTCACGTTTCCATAGTTTGTTAACTGTAGTTCATTTCAAGTTTCCATAGTTTTTGTTAACTGTAGTTCATTTTCAAGTTTCCACAGTTTTTTTGTTAACTGTAGTTCATTTTCAATTTTTTATTAACTGTAGTTCATTTTCAAGTTCTTTGTTAACTGTAGTTTTTCAAGTTAACTTGTTTTGTTTTTATTTTTCCATTGGTTTTACATTTTCTTCAAACCTTTTTCTTGGATTTCCAAATAACTTCTGTATTTTGTGTCGTGACTTCTGCTACTGTAATTACTACTTCAAATGTCGTGACACAGGCTTCTGGTATGAGCGTCTCGGCTGATGATGTCTTGGCTTTCATTCTTTGGGAGATTGATCTTTACAGGAGATATTCCTTTTCTCCTGACCCTGACTGGGTGCTTCCAGTGCCAGTGGCACCCACTTGTGACGACGAGGATTTTGACAGCCTGTTTCTTCCACCCTCTGCTGTGCAAGCCTGTGTCTCTCCTGAGGAATCAGTCAGGCCCCTCTCAGCCATAAGGATTTGATTTCCTGGGTAACCTTTTATCTGTATTCCCAGTTTCATATCCTACTTTTTCACTGTTACATGCTTGCCACATCATCCGAGTATCTTGTTTTTTTCTCCTTCTCCAGATATCAAGGTACATGCTGATCATTTCCTGTTTCAATTGAGGGCAGGGGCCTGCATGCCCTGACCCCCACAAGTTTCAGTTGATTATGATTTGGCTTACCATCAGGCTGATTCTCCTTTTCTGGACTCTCAGAAGATCAAGTTTTTTCTGTCTGTGTGGGAGGCTGACCCTGAGAGTTCTGTGTGCTTTTCCCAGGCCCAGTTTCCTGCCTTCATATTACCCTTACTTCTCTCCTTTCTCCTCTCTGAGGCTATCCACTGTTTCCCTGAAGGGTTTTTGGAGGATACTCAAACCCTAATTTTGCCCACTTTGGCACAGTTCTCCTTCTCGGACCTATCCCTTCACACACATGGCCTTTTTGCTGCTGGGTTCTCCAGGGTGGGGATGCTTTCAGGTGTACTTGCCATCCTCTTATCTTTGTGGCCTGCAGATGGCCCATTTTATGTATTTTAAGAGATATCCAATGTTCTGTGTAGAGTCTGCGAGACAACACTCAACCCATTTTCTTTGATTACTTGTTTGTCTCAACCTGCTCCCATTCCATCTTCCAATCCTTGCCTGTTCTGTCCTCCTTTGGTCCTTCAGCGAGGCATTTTGCTTCTCTTTGTACCAAACAAATTGATTATGATCCATTCCAAGAACTTCACTGTTGTCTCATATATCAATCAATTTGATGTATTTTTGAACATTGGAACTCCTTTATTGGGTCAACACTCTTCATATATATCTCATGGCATGTCATGTTTTGGGTGCCTTCAACCTTTTAGCAGCCCGACTTTCCCGACCCAATCAAGTTTATCCCATGGATTGTTCCATTGACTCTGCACTCAGTGGGGTGCTCCTCACCTCGATGGTATTGCCACTTGCCTATATACCTAGTTACCTCTCTTTTGGATTCTAGTTTCTCATCCCTATTCTTTGGATCAAATAGTACCTTCATGCCTACCCCAAATCTGGCTCTTTCCTAGGGTGATTTTGCTCATCCAATCCATTCTGTGTAATGTCCTTGGCACAACCCTGGTGTCCACTTCTCCTTCAACTCCAAATGACTCCTCTATTACCTCTTTCTCTGACACCTTTCCTCCTTCGTCAACCTTGGTCACTAGCCCTTCACACACATTGTCTTCTCGCATATCATTTCTCAAGTCCCTTGTGAGGAGATCCGGGTTATCTGCACATGTAGCTTCCCTTTTGTCTAGTTTCTACTGTTGGCACAACCCTGGTTTCCACTTCTCCTTCAACCCCAAATGACTCCTCTATTACCTCTGACACCATTCCTCCTTCTTCAACCTTGGTCACTGGCCTTTCAACATTGTCTTCTCAGATATCATTTCTCCAGTCCCTTGTGAGGAGATATGGTTTATCTGCACATGTAGCTTCCCTTTTGTCCCATTCCATTCATCCTTTCTCCCTTGCAATTCATAAACAGATGTGGAAAGTCTTCTGCTGTTGGTCACTCCTCTGTGGACTTTCTCCTTCTTGGCCAAATGTCACTCTTCCAGCAGATTTCCTCACCTTGCTGTTCAGTCATGGTGTTCCTGTTTCCTTAATTGCAGGTTATCGTGCAGCTTTGTCCAATACCTTCCGTTTTTCCAGGTACCATTCTGTGTTTTCATCTCCTACCATTTCCCTGTTATTGCATTTATTCTGGATTACTTGACTTCCCCATTGAGCAGTTCTTCCAGATTGTAATGCCCCTATTATTCTCCACTTCTTTACCCTTCTTTCATTTGAGCTTCTGGCCTCCTGTTCCATGTATCACCTATCCCTTCAGATTTATTTTGTTCTGCTCCTTGCCTGTGGGCATTGTTGATCTGAAATCTTTACCATCAAGGTTTCATGTACATTCTTTTCCATTCCACATATGCTCTCCTTTATCCGGGTCATCGTTCCTGCCTCAAACTTCAGCAGCTCATGAGGGGAGTTCTTTGTTTCTGCCATTTTCCCTTCCCTCCATTTTCAACCTGTATTACTGGTTAGATCCAAATAGACTTCTATATCCTGTTCATTGTTATATTGTCCACATGGCTTCCTTTCATGGTTTCTGAACCTACCTCTTCTTTCATTGGAACATTTCCTCACAGCATAATTTTTCCTCTTCTACCCTGATAGGCTGGATTTGACAGCTTATCAGTCTGGCGTATTCCTTCCTGTCTCTTTCTTCCAGATGTCTTTTCCAAGTCATCCTTTGGAAGAGATTCTTTGGTTAGGCATGTGGACTACCTCTCATATGTTCATCTCGCACTCCCTTTATTGGGTGGCCATTTCTTTCTTGTCTGATAATGCACAATGTTGAGATGGGGTGTTCCACAAAACAACTAGTAGGTTTTCCTCGTGGTATTTTGCCTCAACCAAATGTCTGTTCCAGACTGTGCAAACCCATAAGTAACTAGAAGAGGATTGCTGCCCATCCTTTTGATTGAATAAATTGGAGTGGCCTGCTTTTAAAAACAGGGATTTTGTGGTCACCTATTGCATTGTCTCTGGTGTTGGCATTCCTCCGGACACACCTTCTTCTTGTGGAGTATGGGAGTCCTTACCACTTACTAGTTCTTAGTTGCTAGGGTGGTGGACTATGGAGGCAACTTTCTCAATGTGCTCAATTCCTGGACTATGATTTCAAGATTTCAGTGGGATGTGGGGTTGGACCACCCCAGATTTTTTCTTTCATTTATTGGATGTGCTTCTCACACTTTGTGCCTGTTTATAACACAACATAACATAACATTTTGGGTCAACATGGGACCTAATGGTTCATCTCGGCTATCCCATCCTCTAAACTAAACTAAAACTATTATAAAAAATAAGGTAAATCTTAAAGCCAGCCTTTATCATTAATGTACTTATCAAGCTTTCTCTTAAACTGACTTAAATTTACTGCCTTCACAACATCTGAAGGCAACCCATTCAAAAAGGTAAACCACTCTCTTAGAAAAATAAAACTGCCTTAGCTGATGATGATTATTCCTTCTCTGCCAAAATGTATATTTGTTTTCCCTAGTCCTACTATTCTCAATGGTAAGTATGACAAAAGATGCATCAACACTACCAATTCCCTTTACAATCTTAAACACCTCAGTCAGATCCCCTCAACTCTTCTTTTTCCAGAGAAAACAATCTTAGAGATTTCAACCTCTCCATCCCAGGCATCATTCTAGTAACCCTCCTCTGAACCCTTTTCAACAATTCAATGTCCTTCCTAAGGTAAGGAGCCCAAAACTGAACACAATACTCCTAGCAACAGCACACTGCTTGGGTGGCTTAAGAAACTGATCAACATCAAGATTCCTTTCTTTCATGACACTATTAAAGTTATTCCCATCCAAGTTATACTTATAATTCAAATTATGATAACCCACATGCATTATCTTGGAATTATTATAATTAAAACCCATCTGCCATTTATTTGTCCAACTCACTAAATGATCTAAATCCTTTTGTAAATCAGCAGCATCCTCTTCACAGCTAGCAACACCCAAAACCTTAATATTATCTGCACATTTAAGTAATTTATTGACCATTCCTTCATCTGTGTCATTGATGTAAATCAAAGAGAGCAAATGTCCTAAGACTGAGTTTTTGAGGTACCCCACTTGTAACATTAATCCAATTTGACTGAACTCCACTTATAGTAACCTTCTGCTTTCTTCCACCCAGCCACCCTTCTATCCAATTTGCTAACTTATCCCCCACACCTATAGAGATAATTTTTTTCAATCCTTTTATGTGGCACTTTGTCAAATGCATTCTGAATATCCAGATACACCAAATCTGCACCCTTATATCCTCATGTATATAAGCAGTAACTTTTTCAAAGAATGTCAAAAGATTTGTAAGGCAAGATTTTGCCTTAGTAAAACCATACTGACTATCCAACTTTGTTAAATGGCTTATGCCACACTTACTAC